AGCAGGAGCTTTTCAAAGAAGAGGTTTCCGTCATTTGGCAGCGTGTCCAAACAGTCTTCGATGGGCTCCTCAGAAAGGCCTAAGATGTTTGGCTGAAGATTTTCAAACAAGTTATCCCCGAGGCGCACACCTGGTTTCAGCCAAACAGTTGAAGTTTGGCAAACTCTTTAACCAACTGAAAATGTAGTCTTCCAATAGGAGGTATCTGGCAATCATTCCACCTGGAAGTTATGCCAGCCCCACCTCTCATTTTTTGGATCATTTAATAAAGCAGTCAAGAATTTTAAGGGAGTATTATTTTCTATTAGAACTTAATAATATACAATCGTGCTGCTTCCTCATACCCCTTTGAGCTACAAACCATAGAGAGAGAATTTCAAACCAGCATGTGGAGTTCGGAATCACTAGCCAATTCCCATAGGCTTCATAATACTGGGTAGTTTGTAATTGAACATGTAAAGAAAAAATGAGAAAAAATATGCTAAAATTGTTACTTACTTTTCCATCTTGAATACCCCCAGTATACCTTTAATTATTTAAAAAGCTTGTTTTTACATGTTGTGAAAATTATTTTATAAATGAGAAATTAAAGTCTTACTGCTATATTCCATCCTTGAGTTTGACTGTTTATTGCATTAGCTCTGACAATACCTTGCTGCTTTAAACCAGAGAAAAGCAGTAAAGGACACTGAAAATTAAGAATGTTTTAGTATATGCAACTTTCACTTGTACAAATTATTTGGTATTTGCTCTTGTGACAACACTGAGCCAACTTTGTAAGAAAGGAGAAGGCTTTTATTCACTTTGACTTGAGTATTTATTAGCACTTTTGTAGCTAAAGGATTATATCCTCCAAAGAATTCTCTAGCCCCTAAAGCCAAACGTATCTAAAGAACTGGGGCCTGCCCTTCCAAGACTTTATGGGCTGTGGTTTGCTTGGTGTGCACGTTGCTTTTTTCTTGGACGCCAACTCAAATGCAAAACCTTCAGGTGTAGCAAGTTGCTCTTCATATTGTCAGAGTATGCTTTATTCTGATCTGTGAAGGGATGAATGTGTTCCTGACAGTGGTAGTCACAGCATGACTTCATTGAGTTGTCCAATGTGGCTTCACCTACTACAAGGATAAACAGATTACACCCAGTAAAAACTTTTATAGAATGTCAGCAGTAGGAAGAAAAAGCACAAAACTTTGTCATCCCTGATCAGCCCACTGGTGTTTCAGCTGTGTCCAAGTCACCAAATGCTTTAGAGGAAAGGGGAGGACTCTGACAAACACACATCTGTTAATATGCAGATGGGGAAAATTGCTAATACAAGTTATTATTATCTAGCAGGTCCTAGAAGTGGGGGTCTATAAAGGAATTTGTGTCTGTTTGCAACCTGTCCTTTCTGTTATTGGACAGAATTTCGATGGTTGTGCTGATTAGTGCCAGTGGGATTACAGCTGCTCAGGATGAGTTTGGTACCATGCTGCAGACTGAGCATGCTAAGGAGATGGAGCATACCTGGCCTGATGCGTGCCTGGATAAATTCTGCTTGTTGGAGCCTCCCAGCAGGTGACAGCCAGAGTTCATAGTCTGCAAAAAAGAGGGGTTAATAAGTCAAATGAATGTGTGCTTGGCTTCACAAAAGCAGGTGCTTATTTTAGTGCTCAGTCCATCCATTCTACACAACCTCCCAGCCAAATAAACGGCCCCTCTGCAGAAAACACTGTGAGTGATGCTAAGTAATAACCAGGGGAATTAAAGATTAGATGAGAATAAATGGCCAAACAGTCACAGGTGAAATTTTGGAGCAGCTGGATATAAAACAAGGGAAGGATTACAAAAGGACCAGAGTTAAGAAGGCAAGTTGGGGCAGCGAACAGTGGGGAAGGGAAGGGAAGGGAAGGGAAGGGAAGGGAAAGGAAAGGAAAGGAAAGGAAAGGAAAGGAAAGGAAAGGAAAGGAAAGGAAAGGNAGGGAAGGGAAGGGAAGGGAAGGGAAGGGAAGGGAAGGGAAGGGAAGGGAAGGGGGTTGAGGGGATTGCCGGGGTACAGGTTGCGTGGTGCGGCCCGCGCGTGCCCGCCGCGCGCCTCCGCGCCCCGCGTGAGCGCGCCCCGAGCCAGGGCCCCTCGGCCGCGGCCCCGCGAGCGGCGAGTGCCGTGCGAGCGCTTCGCAGCTTCACTTCCCAGCCAGCGCCTCCGGGAGCGCTCAGACATCCCAGCTCTGGCCGAGACAAACCCGGCCCTGTGACAGGGGGAGCTGGGTGACCGAGTCCTCGGCGGAGACACAACCATCTGAAGTTGGAGCGCTCTGAAAAATGGTTGTTAAATATTTTGATTACTGTATAGAGCGTATTTATTACTCCCATTTCTGTATGAGGACCTGCGATTCCGCGTGCGAGTTAATCACAGCATTGCAATGGAAATATTTTCATGATTTGGAGCACTCGGATGAGTTTAAATTACACATTTCGTAGGATTTTAATTGTAATATCTCTTTATATAAATAACCTTGTAAATACTCTTTTAACCTCACTACATGAGAATACTTTAATTTACAATCGCTGTAAGATTTACAGATTTTTTTGGGAGTAGGGTTTTTTTCCCAAATGAAAAGCTGGTGATGAGCGAATTGCAGGAAATTCTGTTCATTAGTCGGCAGCTCTGGAGAGCCTGTGCCAGAGGCCTCACGTGGTCGCCCAACGACACGCAAACAGCAGAATTAATTAATATTCCCGGCGAGTTCCCGGGCGCCGGGCGCGAAGGGGTTAACGCGGCCGGGTCCGTGCGGGCCTCCCTCACTCGCCCCTTTCTTTTTTCCTTCCTTAATTAATCATGCGCTGCTCCGCAATTTCAATATGGAGATGGCGAGCAATTATTAATGAGCCCGCGGGCTGTCCCGCGGCGCCTCTGGACGAGCCGCGGCCGCTGCGCCCCGGTGGGTGTGAAACCTGCGCGCACAAAGGCTCCTCCTCACCGGGAACACGCCCCAAATCCATAAATAAATAACGAGGGAAGGGCTTTTGTTCGTCGGGCCGATGGCACATGACCTTGCGGCTGAGCCGCGCTGCGCCGTGCCCGGAGAGGGGAAAGCAGGGGGTGCGGGCGAAGCGCCCGAGCCGGCGCTCCCTGGCAGGAGGGGGGGCAAGGGGGTCGGATTTAGCGGGAAATAATACAAATAAACCCCAGATACAGCTCTGCCGGGCAGGAATGTGCAGGGGGACGGGGGTGGAGGATTTAACAGGGAAATAACACAAGTCGCCCGCAGATGCAGCGCTCCGCCGCACAGCGCAGTGCCCCGCGCTGACCCCGCGCACAACATGGCCGTGTTCGCCCGGCCCCGCTCCCGCTCCTCCCCAGCCGGAGCGGCGGCTCGGGGGCTCCAGCGGCACCATCCCGCTCTCCTTGCGTATTTATTTTTTAATTTATTTTTACTCCATCCACCCTCCATCCCTCTATTTTTGGGGGGGAGGGGGAGAAGGTTCTTTTTTTTTTTTAAATCTCCTTTCCTCCTCCTGCCGGTATGCCCGCTATCCACACCATGCAGTGCACGACTAGGTAAAAACCCCTAACGGGCAGCTACTTCCATTAGTCGGGTTGATTTTTTTACAGAGCCTTGATAAACGAGGAGCAGCCCAAGGTGGGAGGAGGAAGAGCGGAGCGGAAGGGAGCGGGGATGAGCGGTGAGGGATAACAAAGAGTCAGGTGCAGCGGCGTACAGCTCCCTCACTGCCGCTCGTGGACGGCTCTGGTCTTTAAGCACTCCCCTCACAATTCAGTAAGAAAACGGGAAAGCCGCGGAGGCAAAAGCTGCGTTTGTGCCGGTAGCTGCAGCGCTGGGAGAGGCGAGTGCATTGTGCGGGGAGCGGGTGATGGGCGGCCGTCCCAGCCCAGCCCGTCCCACGGGACAGCCGCGGGAAGGTGCGCCTGGCGCGGCCCCGCACGGCCGCACCCCGCGCTCGGAGCGCGTCCTGCAGGTTTGCCGCATCGCAGCGGGACTCCCTCCCCGGGATGGATGTCGCCGCGGAGCCAAACGAACCGGGCGCAGGGACGGAGATTTCAGCAATGGCGAAAGGGGGGCGGCGGGAGGAGGGGGGTAAAA